TTGGGTTTTAGGACTCAGGATTTAGGATCTACATGACGGGTGTTGGACCCACGAAATGGAAGCCCAAAGTCCTTGACCCTAACTCCTATAGCCGCCACCCATCCGAAGCTTCCCGCACAAAAACTTACAGGGTTCAGGGTTTAGGGCTTAGGGTTTAGGGATTGTTCGCAGAGTCTTTGGGCTTAGGGCGACCTTTGAGCATAGGTCTCAAGGAGTTTCCAGTGTAACCTTATGAGGTTTGTACCCTTAAGTTTGGACCCCCAAGCCTGCAGCGGGAGTAGAGGACGCGGATAGCTACAATGCTCCCCTTCTAATCCACTTTAATTCATAGGTTCCCCTACTACGCCCTAGGTTCCCCCCTTGACTAAGGTTATTTAGGGGCTGAAATAAGGTTGATTCAGGTGGATCCTTGGGAGGTAATAGTAGGGGCGGGAACCCAGGAACCCAGAAGTAATGTTCCCTCTGTTCCATCCCCATTTTCCTACAAAGCACCATTAAGCCATCTGCCGCCCTGTTTGCTGACGTGGACCATCAGCTGCCATGCGCATGGCAAGCTCGATGATAAACCATCCCTCACCGGCAGCTTAAGTTGGGGTCCTGGTGTTGACAAGGGTTATGTGGGGCGTGCTAGGGGTTTGTGGGGTTGAGAGCTTGGAGTTATGTGGGGTTTTATGGGCGGTATATGGGGTTTAGGGGTTTACGCAGAGCTTAGAGAGCCTCTGGGTTCAAGGGGTGGGGGTTGCAGGGCTGAATGAGTGTACTTGTAACCCCGCTTCTGACTAGGAGCATGGCTCCCATTCTGCCAGAACTGTCCATGACCAAGCAAGCTTATTGTTGTTGTACTAGCTTTCAAGGTTTTGGAGTTTAGTACAGTTGGTGTAGGATACCTGGGGCTTCAGTTTCGCTTTGCAAGGACACCAACTATCTCAAGGAAAGAAGGCTTCTCCCATTCCAGGGCCCCCCGAGCATCCTTAGTTGGTGTTCTAGGTTTTAGGGTTTAGGGTTCAGGGTTTAGGGAATGTGGGTACTTAGGCCTTGATAGACGGTAGGTCTAGGTTGATGAAGTCACCAGAGCGCTGTTCCTAAATCCCCAATAGCCCAGTTCCCTATAAACATATGAGCTGCAATCAGTAGCACGCAGATCCTTAATCGACTTGGGTCCTCATCAAGGACTATATTATGAGGGACTTGGCTATACTAAACTATAAGAGGGACGCCAATGTCCACCCTTGCCGTAATGGTTCCTTCACAAGTTTCAAATTACCAATACCTCATATAGAACAAGGTATGGCTTCTATAACTACTAGGAAGTTTCCTCATGCTTTCGGTACAGCTTCTTGTAGGGCACTGCGGACCCTTTGGGACTTGTCTACCAAGTAGAGACAGCATGGTTGCTCCCGACACAACAAACGGTTTGGGCAAGAACCCTGAAATAAAAACCCATGGGTTTAGGG